TCAAGCTGGGAGGGGGGGAGGAGGGAGAGAGAATGAATGAATGCACTGTGCCTGCATTCATTTGTGGGTGAGGAGGGAGAGAGCCAAGAGGCGGCTGCAGAGATCAGCAAGGCCCATTGATGGGGGTCCGAAGGCTTCCATTAAGGGCACTCACTGCCACATAGAGTTGACGAGGTCACACACTGCATCTTCCACATCAGTATGGAAGCAGACACTCCTGGAGTATGTATGGGATGAAAGAATAATTGTGCTGTTTGTGGCAAAGGGTCCCCCCACCCCACAAACCTGGAAGGTGTGCTAGTGGAATGATGAAACAGACCTTTAAATTGTTGGGCAGGGGAGGGGCAAAGATTCCACGTGGATTCAGTGAGCAACTCTCCTCCCTCAGCACCTCCCTCCACCAATGGGAAACTTCCTTTCTTTTGATGGTGGGAACAGAAATAGCCATCAGAACCCAGTATGCAACAGTCCATGCCTGGTCAAACTTTGTTTGCTTAGGGCCTTGCTTTGGCTGAGAGTGGCTTTGAACTTGCGATCCTCCTGCCTCAGCCTCCCAAGCTGCTGGGATGACAGGCGTGCACCACCACACCTGGGTACCAGAATTTTCTTAAGGTTGACTGTAGGCAGTTTCCTGTAGCACTCAGGTAGCAGTTAATTATCAACTGCACTAGATGATTCTGCAGGATTTGATCCATCATTGGGAATGATTTGATGATATGAAGATGAACTGTACCATAGCTTTGGTTTTTTTTTTCCTCCTCCAGACCAAACACTAAGTCATTTCATTTATGCACACTTGGTGTGTTGCCCAGTCCTAAGAGCACTTTCTGCAGCTGGAGGAAAAGCCTTCAAGGATGCAGGTGCCATCAGAATCTCGTCTCTCTTCCTCTCCAGGTTCTGATGCCAGCACCGTTGAAATCCATACTGCAAGTGGGCCCCGCCAGGAAAATGACGTTGATATGGCTCACCCAACTCAAGGACACCTGTGAAGGGAGGGAACTTGGGTCTGGACTCCGCAGTCCTGAGGCTGTACACATCCCTTGTTCTGTAGAAGTGCGTCCTTGCTGTCCCCTCACTGCATGGTCAAAGCATGGCATCTCTGAAGTCCCACTCTTATGACTGTTAGAGCTTCCTCCTGAGAATCCTCTTCATGCCAGGAGACGCCATTCCACATGGTCGGGCTTGGGAATGGAAGGATTCCTTCTAGACCACTCTGCCCAGTTGGCATTAGTAGTTCTGAGGCTGGCTGTAATGCGAAGTGCAAGATCCATGTCTTTGGGGAAGTAGTTACATAAAATAAAGTAATTGTGACCGAGCCCCTAGTCCGACTTGGATTCTATCCAAATAATATACCCAACAGATGCTCTTCCTGCCAGTATGAGGGATGCCAAAGAGCAGCAGAGACCACAGAGCTGCACGCCATAGCTTTGATCCCCAAATTCCCGTGTCTCATTGAAAACTGAGGAATCCGTGGAACCTGACCTTTACTTACAGCACCGCCTACATCTCCACCTTTCCATCAGTTAAAATGTCATCCATCAATTATTTATCTAGAAAAGACACTATTTTCCAAAGATGCTGTAGACATGTGTCCCATGGGACCTCCCTTTGTATCTAGGACTCCCTTTCATTCTAGAAAAGCTGTCCAGGTTTTGGAGGCATAAAGCTGCAGGTGGACTCAGAGTTCACTGCGACCTCAGGGATCTCAGGGCCATTTCTGTTGCATCTCCTAAGGGGAGAGGGACCATGCACACCTTGACCAAAAGTCCGAAGGGGTAGAGGTGTGAAGGAGGTTTGCATTTCCTGGGGGGCAACTGTGTGGTTATGTCAGTCGACTGTGTTTACCTCCACGGCATTGGCCCCACAGACTGATTTTGGCTGCTTCTCTGTGCAGCCCCCGACCTGGTTCTCCAGTTCTTAGAGCTGCCAAGTATCCTTCTCATTCATTCTCGTTGGCACACTAGGTTCCGCAGCTTGCAAGTAAGAACCCCGCCTGGCCCGCTTACCCAGTTACAAGTCCTCCTCCTAGCTGGTGCGTCAGGCAGCTAGCTGACACTCCCAGCATGGTGGTTCTGATGAGCTCAGATGAGGACAAGTGGAGACTTCCTCCCATCCTGGCTGCTTGCCAGATGGAAGAAAGAACACTCGAGATATGACTTCAGGAAACACGGGAAATGCAGAGACAACAGCGGGCAGATAAACAACAGAGCGTTGGTGTCGAGCCCTTTCCCTATGAGGCTGGGGGCATGTCCCTTTGCTGTTCTGTTGTTATTTAAGATGCCAGGTGCTACAGCAGGGAGGCTAGGGGAAACGATCCAGGGAAACAGCCATGCTGGTGAGGATAGGAGATATACTCCCAGGAGGGAAGTTCTTGGGGTGAGAGGGAATTGGGACCTGGAACCCAGGGGCTGGGTGGTCTGTGAGGAGACCATGACAGAGGCAGAGCTGGGAGTGGAACTGGGGGGGAAGATGAGGTGGTACCCCTCAGATAGCGTCCACTGGATTTTAAGCGGGCCAGTTTAGTAGCCCATTTATTTACTACCATGAAAAAAAATTTGTAGTTAGGTTGGGTGCAGTGCTGCCCACCTGTCATTCCTGAGGTAGGAGAATCACAAATTCCAGGCCAGCCTGGTCAACCTTGCAAGACCCCGTCTCAAAATAAAGGGTAAAAGGGCTTGAGGAGCAGCCCCYGGGCTCAATCCCCAGTTAAAAACAAACAAGACCATTAGCAGTTGGCTCCTTCCCCTAATTCCACAGAACGCATCAATATCAACGTCTACAGTTGTGTAGCTACAACACAATCCAGATACCCTGCCATTTTCCTGGGCAGTCTCTGAGTGTCTGAGGATAGCTCTCTTCCTGACCAACCACCCATTCTCCAGAGAACCAACTTCAAATTTTAGCACCCGAGTTCTTCCATTTCCACCCTCCCTACAGTCTAGTCTGCACTGGGCCCTCGTCCTGTTGCCAGTATGCTCCAGGCAAGCTGGTGTGCTCTGGGCTGGCTGACCCAAACTGTCGATGAGATGCTTCACAGACAGAGCACCCAGACTAAGGGGAAAAAAAAAATTAGTTCATTCAAATCTGGATTCTTACATATAGGGGCATAAGACTAGCTCCACTCCTTCTTCCCCCTTCTCCCACACTCCACAAAGTGACACCCAGCTACAGAAATCTAGATTCGGCATCCAAAGGTGCCCGGGACACTTTGTGATCACGGAGGCTGTCCGTAAACATCTTTTAACAATGGCACTGACATTGGGGGGGGGGGGGTTCTAGCCCACACATACTGGGGATTTCAGCCCAGATCACAGGGATCCACGCGGTCTTGCTGCCAAACAGCATCCCACTCCAGTCAGTCCCCGATCAGCTTCTCTGTGCAAGCCCAGCTCATCTGGGTCCATGGCAGCTCAGGGCTGGTCCTCAGACACCAGGTCTGGCCTGGTCCAGAACACTGCTACCTCCTGGCCTTCAGACACCCCCACCCCAGTTAAGGGGCAATCCTGGGAAGAGGCAGTTATTTCCATAAAAGGCAGAATTCTGTATCCATTGATCAKTGTCAATGTGGGAGTTACCCAGACAGACGGAGAAACCACAGGCACCCAGATCTCTAATATCAAAATAGAGCAATTTATTCAAGACACTGAATATGATGTCGATTCTCTCTTGAAACAAATGAGCTATGACACACAAGGTGATTTTTTTTTCTTTCCCAAGAGCGTGAGGAGCGAGTGGCGGGGGAGTAGAGAAAATGGGGGACAGATATCGTTGAACAGAATCTGGAAAATGCTGACGGAGAACCACGTCTGGCTGTACGTCTGACACAGACAATAAAAACTGCAGAAGCCAGAATCTAAAACTTCAGTGAGTGGTGGAAGAAACATTTCTGCATTTGACAAGAAACACAATGAAGAAAAAAAGAGCAGGAACAAGAGGTTAAAAAAAAAAAGGAGAAAAATAACAAGGAAAAAAGCAGATCTTTACGTCGGACAAAGTGCACTTCACTTGGCTCCATGATCTATTTTTAGAAAGAACAAAAAGTCAAGTCCTACGGTGTGGAGTGGAGTCAGAGCATCAAACCCTGCCACGTCCATCTGGCCCTTCCAGGCCCCCGTGGGGCAGCTCTCGCCTCCCAGGTAGATGCTGGACATGGCTCTTGGTCACTTTGAACCCCACCAAAGATTCCAAAGAGGATGACTGCATTATGTCTGCTCTCAAGGTTGGATTTGGTCACTAAGACTTAAGCATTCCTCACAATTATTAAGAGCTGTAAACAACGTAGAACAGCAACTGCAGGAYACACGGGCCACCCCTCGACTACAAGGATGAATCTAGTGGCGCTCTGGCAGGAGGGTCAACAATGGTCTGTAGACACGGAGGTTCCCCAAGTTGCTGTCGACCATGGTGTTCTGTGGATGGGGGATGGACTTCAGGGGCACAAGATGCATGCCCCCGTCTGGTCCCCTGGTGGCCCATGCCCACTCGAGTCCAGAGGCTAGTTGTGAAGCAGGAAGGTGGGCAGGCTGCTTTGTCCTTCTCGGGCTCCCTCCTGGGCAGGAACTTGTCAGGAGCCAGCAGCCCTCAGCTCCAACCTGACAATTCTGATGAGGCTCAGATTGACCGAGGGGCTAAAGAGACCCTGGCTACTGACATCCATGTACAGATTGTCTAGCGAGTCCCTGACACAGCCCATGGCAGTAGAGGGCTTGTCCAAGGAGCCATATCCCAGGAATGGGCTAACTTTGGACAGCTGGTATTCTGCAGAGAGAAACATTTTTACTTGGGGAACAGTAAAGATAGTGTTTATCTAGATCCCCAAAATCTGCACCCCAAACCTAATGCATCTTCAAGGCAGGAGATTATCAACCTACTGGGGGACCCCTGCTCTGTTCAATGATGACCCATGCAACTTTGGCTTTCTCTGCTGAGTATTTAGGTACCACAGCTGGAACACAACACTCAATAACAGGAGCACCTCTTGGTCTTTTTGGGCTTGCAAAATTCACATACCAAAGTGGAGGCGAATTCACGGTCTGAGAAGGATTAATGCACTCTGGTATCTGCCGATGGCCTCTGAGCATGCTCAATCGTATAGGTAGGCCCTGCTCTTCCACCATGGGTGACTTTTGGCTCCATGGAGAGATGCATCCGTCTGAGTTACACCCTGYTACAGCTCCAGGAACACACAGCTGACTGAAATCAGCCCCCTAGGCTTCTCCCTAGCCTCACCAACACTTCCTGCCCTTCCCTAGGCCCACAGGAAAATCAGAGAGAAGAGGCCCCGTCTTTCCATGTGTTCCCCCATTGCTAATTTAAAATCAGTGTTCAGTTGTGATGAGGGTGCTACAGTCACCTGATCCCACGACAGCAAACCTTGCTAGGAACACAAAAACTGGTTTAATTCTTTAAAAAATAGCAAAGACCCATTTAAAAACAAAAGCAACAAAAAGTCCCCACCCTTTTTCTAGTCTCTTGTGAAAGAAAGGATCAAGCCGGTAGAAGTGGTTAGTAACATTCTACCTAGGTAATGATTCACCTCCGGGAATGACAGTCCTCCTTGCGGGTTATTTTGTGTCTTCTCTTGACCGAGGTACGCTCTGGGGAGCCTTCAGGTCTACTTTGCAGGTACTTTCCCAGTGTGTGCTCTTGGTGAGGTGGACACTGGAAGCTGTTTCTGGGGAAAAGGCGTAGGTGACAGCAGAGGCCGGCTGTCGGTCTGGAAGCCTCCCTCCCTTCTTTCGCACCAGCTGCTGACGTGCAGGACCATCCGTCCGTCTTCCACCCAAGGTCCTCCTCRTGCCTTCCACACAGCTGACGGAAAGGGGCGAGACACCTCGGGCTGCCAGTGACATCTTTGACTTTTTTTTTTCCTTTTTAAATATGAATCACAAAGCTCTCTATGTCTGATGGCCATTTTAGGATTTTAAAATCGTTTCAACATAAAAATATTTTTTTTTTTTTTTTCCAAAAATACTCCAGGCTCTTTCTCTTATAAGTCATTTTTTTTTCTCCTGTAAAAAGTCCCCCTCCCTGCCTTCTTACATAAAGCACTTATTTATGCGCCAAAAGTGCCCTTGAGACCTAAGGTGTGGAGCAGCTATGGGAGAGCAGAGGGGAGCGGGGCAGTGGACGGGTGGGGAGCGAGCTGTCCATCCAGGCTTCCCCCATCGCGTCACCCTGTCCCTGGCCGCGTCTGTGTGTGTGTGTGTGTGTGGGGGGGGGGCATGAAAAGGGACACGGGACCAAAGGGAATGGCGCAGGGGGCAAGGACATGACCAAGGGGGAAAGAAGCAACGAACCCCGGACAGTTTCCATCTCACGTGGAAGGCCCTGGACCACAGGATTCCAGTGGACAGAAAAGCCACCCCACAAGTCAGGTTCTAGAACACAGAGCTGGGAGGACAGTCGCGCGCTTCATCGGTCCCAATGGTCTTGGAGCAGCCTTTGTGGGAGCCACGTGGTGTCCAAATCGACTGGGGGGGGGGACCCTAAGGAGGCGGCCCCCACCTTTTGGTTGATCACAGCATTTTTTTTTTTTTTGGCACAGCTTTTTCACTGTCCCCTCCCCACTGAGCCGCGAGCGCCCACTCCGGGGGATGGAAACCGAGCCTGCGCCGCCCCTGGCTCCGACGGCGGGGCCTGGGCGGGACCTTCCCCACGGGCTTGTGTTTTTCAACTTCAGGATGAAGGTGACGAGAAAGAGAGAGACTCCTGTGGCCAGGGACAAGTTGACTTCAAAGTACACTCTAACGCAAGTCAAGCTCCAACACGGCGGGAGAGAGCGGCGACCCCACGCGTCCACTGCGGGTCCGTGAGGGTTGTTCCTTTCCTCTCTAGCGTTTCCTGTGTTTACTTCCGCAGATCTAACACACACACCTGGAAGGGAAGACAAAGCACCCGTGACCGTCAGAAACAGCATGCATGCGCCACCAGAAACCTAAGTTCTACCACAACCCCTGGCTYCCCCCAGCTCCTTTAGCAGCTTGATTCTCCCGCCATCTTTCCTATCTCCCACTCGCCTGCGTTCTCATTTCTCCCAWAATCCCTTGCATCTTCCCCCATCACSTGTTCTCACCTTCCYTCCAGAATCCCYTGCACTAACCTCCAAGCCCTTCTKGATCCCAGAATCCTGTTCTCTTGAATCTCCCACAATCCCTTGCTTCTCTCAATGCTGTTCTCACCTCCCTCCCAGAATCCTTTGCTCTGGCCCACAAGTCCTTTTCCCCAGAATCCTCTGTTCTCTTGAATCCCCCCAAATCCTTTGTCCCTCCCAGAACTCTGTTCTTGCCTTCCTCCCAGAATCCTTTGCTCTGAACTGTGAGTCCCTTTCTCCCAGAATCCGGTTCTCTCAAATCCCCCACAATCCCTTGCTTTCCCTATAATTCTCTTCTCAACTTCTTCCCAGAAACCCCTGCTCTGGCCCGCTAGTTCTCCTTACTCCCAGAATTCTGTTCTCCTTCCTCCCACAACCCCTTGCTTCTCCCAGAACCCTAAGGCTCTCAATTATMCCACAATCCTGTTCATATTTTGCTCCCAGAATCAGCAGTGACACAAAGCCCTTCTTTCTCCCAGAATCCTCTGGTAGCTTAATTATCCCATAATCCCACGCCTCTCCCAGTATCCTCTGTTCCTTAATTCCAACAATCCCTTGCTTTTCCTAAATCCTCTTACTTCCTCCCAGAACTCTTTGCTCTAACCAACTAGTCCTTCCTCCCAGAATCCTGTTCTTGCTCCTCCCACAATCCTCTGCTTTTCCCTATAATCCTTTTACCTTCCTCCCAGAATCCTCTCCCTGCCCCACCAGTCCTTTCTCCCACAATCCTCTGGTAGCTGATTGTCCCATAATCCCATGCTTCTCCCACAATCCTGGCCTTAACTCTTCCATAATTCYTTGCTTTTTCTACAATCTTCTCACCTTCTTCCCAGAAACCTCTGCCCTGACCCACTAGTCTTCTTTCACAATCCTCTTCTCCCATAATTCTTTGTTTCAACCACAATCCTCTTCTTTACTCCCAGAATCCTGGCATGACCCACAAAACCTTTCTCCTGGAATTCTCTGGTCACTTGATTCTCCTGCAATCGCCTCTCCCAGAAACCAGTTCACTTATTTCTCTCACAATCTTCTACTTCTCCCACAAGCCTGTTTAGACCTTCCTCCCAGAATCCTCTGACCTGACCCCCAAGTCCTCCTTTCTCCCAGAATCCTGTCCCTTAATTCTCCCAAAATTCCTATAATTCTGTTCTCACCTTCCTCCCAGAATTCCCTGCTCTGACCGGCTAATCCTCCTTACTCCCAGAATCCTGGTTCTCCTTCCTCCCACAACTCCTTGCTTCTCCCAGAACCCTCTGGCCCTCAATTATCCCTTAATCTTCTTCACACCTTCCTCCCAGTATCAGCTGTGACACACAAGCCCTTCTTTCTTCCAGAATCCTCTGGTAGCTTGATTCTCCCATAATTCCATGCTTCTCCCAGAACCCTCTGGTAGCTTGATTGTCCCACAGTGCCTTGCTTTCCCTACAATCCTGTTCTCTTTTCGCCTAGAATCCTCTGCCCCGAACCCGCAAGTCCTCCTTCCTCCCAGAATCCTGTCCCTTAGTTCTCCCACAATTCCTTGCTTTTCCTATAATTCTGTTCTTACCTTCCTCCCAGAATCCCCTGCTCTGACCAGTTAATCCTCCTTAATCCCAGAATCCTGTTCTCCTTCCTCCCACAACTCCTTGTTTCTCCCAGAACCCTATGGTTCTCAATTATCCCACAATCCTGTTCACATCTTCCTCTCAGAATCAGCCATGACACACAAGCCCTTTCTTCCAGAATCCTCTGGTAACTTAATTCTTCCAAAATCCCATGCCTCTCCCAGTATCCTCTGTTCCTTAATTCCAACAATCCCTTGCTTTTCCTAAATTCTTACCTTCCTCCCAGAACTCTCTGCTCT